GATTAAAACATCACTTAACTAACCTATGATTTGGCAAATGTTGAAGTAGTATACTTTTTGACAAATTAAAACATTCGATTAAAAAGTACTTGGTGTAGCTCATCTTACAATTTAAGAGGCATTAACAGTAGTAGTTTAACATCACTGCTTGCCTCGAGCATTATGTAATCTCACCCGTTTATAGAAACCGATGATCAAGGCTTGTCCCATCTTATTCCAAAGGTACCAAAAAGAGAAAGAGGCGACCTTTGGCTTAGGATTCTGACATCCCTTGCAAAATTGGATTTGTCTGGTGGAGCAATTCAGAGTTCTTTCCTTTGTCTGAGGTAAACAAGTATTATCAAGTATTGTTTATCCTTTTATGTTCATTATCAATATGTATTATCACAGTTCTTTACTTGATAAATATAAATGGAGTAGCTTTGACTAAGAAAAAGTAGCTGGTGGAATAAGAATACAAGACTTGGCTGTATGAGTGTTATTTTCTTGGTGGTAAGCATTATGTAATAAGTTTTCATTAAGGAATGGAGATCATGAACTTGACAAAACTAAATGTACGAGTGTTACTACGCCCTTTTTAGAGAAGCTTTTCTTCTCGTATCAATTTACAGCTCTCCTGAGACCAATTCTAAATTGTCGCAATACTGCAGATGGTTCTGTAGCATTATCGTCAACTTCTTTCGTGCAATTCCCTCATCCTTTTCCTCTCCTCTTGCAGCCACTATTTGGCTCCTATTACAGAGTGGAACACAGCCAAATCACTGTATGAAGCAGTAAGTCTCATTGTTAAGGTAAACAGGTACCCTCTGCCCACTACAAGAAAAAAGGCCATTTGCCGACGACTCATTGTCGTCGCAAATAGGTGCTTTATCATCGCAAATATAGTATTTTCAACGACATATCGTCGTAAATTGGTCACCGTAAAAATCCCGTCGCAAATAATTTATTTGCGACGACACAATTTTGTTCTTAATTTTATGAATATGTGGATCCATAAATTTAGTGCTGGAACAACTTAATAATGTTTTGCGAATGTTTAATAAGTCAGACCATTACGAGTGGAATACATTTCTTCCTTCTTAGATGAAAATTTCTTTGTGCATGTTATAAGGTTTCGTTCATTTTATCGATTCCAATTTAGAATTTAAATTTTATTACAGTAAAAAGCTCTCATAAACAGTCACATCTAACTTTTTTATTACAGTAAAAAGCTCTCACATAAAGTCACATCTCAATTCAAATTAAAAACTCAAATCAACAAACTAAATGGGCCCTAAATATATTAAAGGAGAGTTGCGGATTACTGTTCACACAGATTCAGTTTAGTGTTTCTTCTACAGTGAAATGACGCTTTTGTCCTCGATTTACTGCTCCCTCCGTCTCGCGCAGGGGCATTTTGGTCTTTTGTGTGTCATTGGTTTTTTTTTTGTTTTTTTTTGCTTTTTCTTTTCCTTTGTTTGCTTTTTTTTTCCGTTTTTCTTTTTTCTTTTTCCTTTCATTTGCGCCTATTTTTTTCGTTCTTTCTTCTTCTATTCCACTCTGCTTCTCTTCAGTTCCTTCGTCCTCTTGGGAATCCTGGATTTCTCGCTTTTTGCTTTCAATCTTTTCGTTTTATTGGTTTCATTTGGCTGTAAATTTTAGGATTTTATGATCATCTAATTGTTGATTTAAAGCGTGCATAAAAATTGTTCACTCTGATACAGTTTATTCTCACAGCAGGGTTGGTAACAAGACATCATTTGTTGTCTAATCTCAGCGCATTTTGGTGAGGATGAAAAGGTGAAATTGTGCAGGAACTGTGGTGATTGACCCCACAAAAAAAAAAAAAAAAAAAAAAAAACCACTTTGGTAATGTGTTTCAATATTTGTCTTATTTTTTTTCCTTTTCTACGAAGCCACTTTGCGTCCATATATATAGTCTGTATTACAGATCACCACATGATAATGACGAGTGGATCAAAGAATTGGATACTTCAGGTTCATTGATGTTTGAGAAATCAAAGCGGCTAGAGGTGAATGTAACACTTCCTTCTTTTGTTGCAGCAAAATTATCTTTTTCCATGTGACTTATTTGCATATTAAATCAAAAGATTGCTTAAGGGTATCTCCACCATACTTACTTTTCACTAAATATGTATCTCCACCATACTTACTTTTAACTAAATATAAAAATGGTACCAAAGAAGGCCTATAATTTTGTTGAATTGTTTCTTTGTCGCTTCTATACTAATATAATTTAATAGAAATATAGGATAACAAGTCTAGGAGGTTATGTAGCTGTTACAAGTTCGAATTGCTGCAGCTTTTCATTGTTATTTTGCTTATGCTTTTATTGTTCCAGCTTCATTACAATAGATCCGCATTTTGTGCAGTTATTTCCCCTTCGGAAGGCAAGTACCATTTCATGTATTTGGGTTAATTTCACGTATTCCTAGTTTAGTTTGTTTTGGCATCTTTTCGTGAAGCTAACCTCTTTGGCATAGATTGCACCCATATGCAACTGGAAGCACCACTTCTCGTCCGACATGCACGGGTAAGCATGCAGCCAGAGTTCATCATGAGCCAGGATCAAACTATCCACTAGATTAATAGTTGCATTATGTATAACAGTGTCTTTGTTCGAGTACAAACTGGGCCTTATGGAGTAAAGGGTAGTGTGTTTATGTTGTAACAATAGCTCCCTGCCTTCCAATTCCAGAGGTGCCTAAAAGACTGGCCAGACGCAATCGAGCTAATGACCCCTGGTGCACTGGAGATATGCTTTCAGATTCATTACTTGGTGATGATGATGTCGAATTAATTCCTAGTCCTGGAAGTGAGGAATTCTTTGTTTCGAGCTAAATTGGATGTCTCGGCTTCAGGGAAAAGGGACATCTTCAGCCAATTCGAGCAAGCAAGTTGCCATAGCTCCGTGCCTTCCAAAGGTACCAAAAAAGGACAGGCCAGACACAACAGAGCTGATGACCTTGGAGCACTGAAGATAGGAATCAGCTTCGTTACGTGGGGTTGATGACGATGACTCATTACGTACTGCAAGAAATGAGGAATTCTTTATTAGATATGTTAGTGGAGGTCTTGAGAGTCATTGAGAGTTTGGTTTTCTATTCTTCTAATGTATATATAGCTACTCTCTCAATGAGACGATGCGAATTGAAAAACAAAAAACAAACGAACAAACAAACAAAAAATGAATGCTTTCTGGATAAGGGTTCGAGAGTGATTTCTTTGAGAGAATTCTTTGTATACTTGGAAATCCTCTCAGATGGTGTGAGATTGGTTAAGACAGTGAAGAAGCCTTGTAATCATCATGGTGACTGTTGAATATAGTCTCTGGGAAGGTCACAAAGTGGATGTAGGACAATTTGGTCCGAACCAATAGTGATTACTTTTTTGTTATTGTTCCTTTATATATACTTGATCTTGTTTTTTTTTTTTTTTTTTGTGTTATTTTGCTGGTTGTGATTCAGAAGATAAGTTCTTGCAATTCACCATATGGACTTTGTGAAATTTTTCTGACTTTAGTAGAATACCCGCTTACCCACTCAGTATTTCAATACATTCAAAATGAAATTCTTTATTTAATTAATACACGTTGGAATGAAGAAAATTGTCTTGTTAATGGATCGTTAAATTTCAGGTTGGAATGTTTAATGATTCGATTTACTAATAAGATTACTTGCTAGACAACTCCTCTTCCATTTTTGTCAGCATTGGGTTATTAATATTGGATTATAAATAAATAAGAGAAATAGAGTTGCTGTCTTTTTGAAGTCAATGCAGCTTATTTCCTAGCTTTATTTTGCAATTTATGCTCAGAAGTTCTCATATTTTTAAGATGGACACACAATATACTTATTCTTAGAAAAATAAAGTTGTCATCCTGCACAGCTCAGAAACAAGATCTATAAAACAACAAAGTAAGTTGTTGGATGCTAGGCCCAAGAGGTTGTATAGTTCCTTTGAATAATGTTATTTATGCTTTCATTATTCAAGCTTTGAAGAAAAGACAAGGCAATCTTCAGTTATTTTCTCTTTAGGAAGCAAGTATAATTTCATGTATTTGGGCTATTTGTCATGCTTGCAATGGCAAGTAAGATGATTTTTTTAGGATATATATGGAACTCTCCTTTCCTATCCTGATTTCTTTTATTTATTTTGTATTTTTATTTTTTTTTTTGGTATCTTTTCGAGTTTGAACTAGTTAATCGTTTCAAAATGAGATTCATTTGGTGATCTTCTACGCTAAATTTCTTATTCCACTAGTTGCTAAAAGACATCATAACTTATTTTAAGACACTTTACCAATTTCGTTTCTATTTTTCAATAATTTTTTGGGGGTGGCTTGTAAATGATGGTTGGCTTTTGTAGGATTCGACATAGTCGGGATTTACTAAAGCCATTATAATGCTAGCCACCCTCCCTTCATTCACCAAATCACAGTAGTTTGGGCATTAACAACATGCATTAATAAACAAGCTAGTTGTTTAATAGAGAAAAATAAAATAAAAAGAAGAAAGAAACTAGGAAGTTCTTTTGTTTCATTTTTAGGACAGACATAGATGGCCGAGCCCATATGTAACTAGTTGATAGTCTTCATCAGAAACTTTGACTTGATCACCAAAAAAGAAAAATAAAAACGAAAACAAAAAAGTGATACCTATATAAACATAAGAATAAATAAGCACCCCATAATGCATTATTATACTATATACTATATACTATATATTATAGTATGTAGTGGAGTTACTGTTCAAAGAACAGTACATGTTCATTTTTGCCCTTTTCTGTGAAATGTCTGTCTTGCCCTTTTTTTCTTTTTCTCTTCTTTTACTAGGTGCGGGGTTTTGGTAATTTCAACTGGGGGTGAAAGGGAAAGGTCAACGCCAAGAGGGATCGTTGAGAGATATTATCTCTTGTATGCGTGCTGATCTTGTGAGATCTATCATTTCCAAATTTGCTAGACAACCTTTTCAACCTCTCTGCTTTGTTTCAAGCCAAATATGGCCGACATAATCCTCACCCCCATTGTGGAACTGATCATTGGGACCTTGGGTTCCGCAGCTGTTGATGAGATCAAATCTGTGTATGGCGCAAAAGATGAGCTCTGCAAACTTGAGAGCCCCCTCTCAACCATTAGATCCGTCCTTGTTGACGCGGAGAAGCGGCAGATCCGTGAAGAGCAGGTCAGAGATTGGCTGGAAAAGCTTGAGGCCGTGTTGGACGATGCTGATGATTTGGTGGATGGAGTTGCCGCTGAAGGTTTGCGACAAAAGGTGATGTCTGGAAAGAAAATAAGCAAGAAGGTACGCACTTTCTTTTCGTCCAACAACCAACTTGTTTTCCGGCACAAGATGGCCAGAAGAATTAAAGATATTAGGGAGAGATTGTCTGAGATTGCAGCTGAGAGAAGAGTCTTGTATTTAGTTGAGCGTCACGAACCTGCGACAAGAGTGAGGGACGAGAGTCACTCATTTGTAGTCGAGAAAAATGTTGTTGGGAGAGATAAAGATAGAAAGGCAATCATAGAACTCTTGTTGGGTCCACAGAATGGGACTCGTCAAGAGAAAGATGTGCATGTCATTCCCATAGTTGGGATGGGAGGACTTGGAAAGACTACACTAGCTCAACTTGTTTTTAACGATGAGAGGGTCCAACAACATTTTGAGCTGAAAGTTTGGGTGTGTGTGTCTAACGATTTTAACGTAAAAGTACTTTGCGAAAAGATTACTAAAATCGTAACAAATGAAAACATAGGAAACCTTGAGATGGAACAATTACAAAGAATGCTTAGAGAGAAGTTAAATGGAAAACGGTTGGTTCTCGTACTAGATGATGTCTGGAGTGAGGATGCCCGAAAATGGAGAGAGTTAAAAGAGTTGTTAACGGCAAGTTGTTCAAAGGGGAGTAGGATAATTGTAACCACCCGTCTTCATACAGTTGCAAATGTTATGGGCACCATGCAGCCCCAGGATTTGGGGATTCTAGATTCGGAAGACTCTTGGAATCTCTTTAAGAAAATGGCTGATGACGAGGGAAAAGAGCTAACTAACGCCACCCTTGTGGATACTGCAAAAGGAATTTTGGCAAAGTGTGCAGGACTCCCACTTGCTATAAGTATGATAGGAAGTACGCTATTGTGCTCTAGAAATCCAGAAACGGATTGGCCATCTTTCCTTGAAAATGACCTTTCGATCATAACTCGAGAAGAAGATGGAGTGTTATCAACACTAAAGTTGAGTTATGATTATCTTCCATCACATTTGAAACCATGCTTTGCTTATTGTAGATTATTTCCTAAAGATCATGACTTTGATGTCCAAACACTTGTAATTCTTTGGGTAGCACAAGGGTTTATTAAGCCAAGTCGAAGCCAAAATCTGGAGGAAATAGGTTATCAATATTTTAGGGATTTACTTTCTAGATCCTTCTTTCAAGAAGCTAAAAAAGATGAACTGAACATGGTAACAACATGCAAAATGCATGACCTAGTTCATGATCTTTCGAAAAAAGTCGCAGGAGAGAAATATGCGACGATAGCCTCTATTGAAGATCCTAGGAAAGTTCATCATGTTTCCTTTGATTTTGAATCACGTTGGCGACTAGAGGTACCAAGTTCGTTGCTTCAAGCACAAAGGCTTCGTTCATTTCTTTTCCCATCAGATGTCATTGACGTTGCATGGGGATTAACAACATGGGATGAAATTATTTCAAATCTTAAATTTCTACGCGTGTTACATATGCATCGTGCATGGATTCAAATTGTACCACATTCAATTGGAAAGTTGAAGCACTTGAGGTATCTTGATCTTTCCTACAATTCTGAGATAGAAACCTTACCTGCTTCTATTACCAAGCTAGTCAATTTGCAAACCTTGAAACTAAACCAATGTTGGAGCCTCCGTGAACTACCAAGTGAGATTAATAAACTAGTCAATCTCAGGCATCTTGAGCTTCAGAATTGTTGGACGATAACTCATATGCCAAGAGGACTGACCCAATTGACTAATCTTCAAACATTATCCCTAGTGGTATTAAGTGAGAAGATCCCCGATTCTATGACGTTGAGCAAACATAGTAAGCTAGATGAACTAATGGGACTCAACAACCTAAAAGGAGATTTGAAGATTAAAGGGATAAGAAGAGGGATGGAAACCGCAGTTACAAAGTTGAGAGAAAACAAGCATCTTCGCTCTCTCTATTTAGACTTTACAGAAAGTAATGAGGATGCACCAAGCAGCGAGCAAGAATGGAAAACAACACTGGAAGGCCTACAGCCGCACGCAAATCTCAGAGACTTGACTTTAGATATGTATGGTGGTGCCAATTTACACAGCTTGCTTTTCCCGCTTAAAAATCTAGTTGCGCTTGTCTTGGCCAACTGCTCGAAATGCCAACAACTACCTTCATTGGATCAATTTCACTCTCTGAAAAAAATGGAACTTCATCGCTTGCTTGCTCTGGAGGATATTACCATTAACGAAGGTGATAGCTTCTTTTCCACATCATCCCCTGTATCGGTACTGCCATCTCTCGAAACACTAAAACTAGAAGTGTTGCCCAAGTTTAGAGGGTGGTGGAGGTCGGACATGGCGGCAGAGAATCAAGTTGAGCAGGTTGTGTTCCCCTCATTTCCTCGTCTCTCACATTTGAGCATCTACGGTTGCCCGAAGCTTACTTCCATGCCATGCTATCCAAATGTTGAGGGAGAATTGACTTTGTCGGATACTAGTGGGAAGCATTTCGAACAAACAATGTTAATGAGGGTCCCAGAACCACAAAAGATCTCGACGACGACGACGACGACAACAACAACAGAGGTGGAAAATGTCATCTATCATCCTCTCTCCAAATTGACGTCTTTAACTCTGGAAAATGTCGGGCATCTACAATATTTGCCGGCCAATCAGATGAAAAGCCTTGCTTCTCTCAAGGCATTACGGATTCAGAACTGCCCTGAACTGAAGTATCTATCTCCAGGGATCCAAAATCTCACCTCACTTGAGTATTTACGGATAGACGGTTGTGAAGAGCTTCAACTAGTAGCAAATGATGACTACTCCGTTAATGAGTGGCAAGGCCTTACAAGCCTACGCAGCTTGGAATTTGCAAATCTACCACAGCTTGTGACTCTCCCTGAAGGACTTCAATTCCTTAGCACTCTGAAAGATCTCACAATTGAGGGATGTCAAAATTTTACGGGCCTTCCAGATTGGATTTGCAACTGGTGTTCACTTGAAAGTCTTCATATTCCGCAAAGCCCAACTTTCAAATCAGTGCCTGGATCAATAAGTAGCCTCACCTCTTTACAAGAGTTAATAATAAACGACAAGGAGATGAATCCAAGAGAAATACGAGGGGATTTGGATCTGAGCTCATGTTCAACTTCAGGTACATAAATTTAATCCCCAACCCCTTTTTTTTTTTTTTTTTATTTTACTATTGTATAATTCACTTTTCGGCATTTTTAAAATTTCTGTCTTTTTTTAAGGCTTTTTCGCAATTGAAAATCTGGTTTTTAAACTTTTTTTTTCGCTATCGGCTCCTTAAACGTTATAAATTCTTTTGCAATTCGGTCCAGTTGAAAACGGCCGTCAAATTGTGGACGGATTTGTCACACGTGAGCAGCACATGCATAATAAAAAAGGGCCCAATGGTCATTTTATTCCATTCCAACTCAAATCAACTTTAAAAATACCTTAAAAACGTAATTAAAGATTAAAAAAAAAAACAAGAACTTAATCTTCTTCGACACAAAAAAACCCAGAAACATCAAATAGGAGGTTGACTAGTAACATAAAACCCAGAAACAATACAACCTAGAAACCCATAAACAATACAAGAACTTCATCTTCTTCAATACAAAAAAGCCCAGAAACTCTCTCTCTCTCTCTCTCTCTCTCTCAAGACCACCCCCCCCCCCCCCCCCCCCCCCCCCCCCCCCCCCCAGAGCTCAAGTGCTCAACACCAGATCCGAAACTTGATAACTGAAGTTTTAAATTAATTTTGCTTAACAAAACCGATCAATTGCAATAGAAAAAGCTTGCTTACCCAGACTCATCCCAGAAACTCATAATCTTAAAATTATCATCATCCCAGAAGCTCATAATCCTCATCCCAAAAACACACCCAGATTCATCAATTTATTTTCCAAACACTTGGATAAATCAGAATAAAGAAAAACCTAATGACAAAAACAAATAAAATCTAAAAATTCTCTTATTTTTTATGTGTTTTTTTTTTTTTTTTTTTTTCCTACTTTTGTTTTCTTCATCTGAGAGAGAGAGAGTGAGAGAGAACCTTCTGGGTTTTTTGGGTTTTTTCACTGAAGAAGGATTCATTTCTGCAAGGAAATGACCATATAATGCCCCTAGGAAAACGTGCTTGTCACGTGATCAAATCCATACAACATTACGTCTGTTTTTAATTGGATCTCAATTACACAGAATTTATAATGTTATGGAGCTGATTGTAAAAAAAGAAATTAGGGATCAGATTATCAATCGTGAAAAGTTAAGGGAGTCCCGGGCAAAAAAGCCTTTTTTAAATTATTATTATTTCATTCGTGCAGGATCAGAATAAAGGAAAATGTGGAAGAAGTCTTCAGAGTATTGCAGTTGTACAACAAATGAACATCACTGTGGTAATTAACCTCTTCTTAATCTCAAGGTTTTTTTTTTTTTTCTTTTTGTTCCAACGGAAACTTGAGTTTTATGAAGTTTTAAGAATTTTTTTTTTAAAGCATTCACATCCATAAGCTTTGTCAAATATGAGCCAATACCCTAATATAAAAAACTACGGAAATAGCAGAAAATAGACCAATATGAAAAGCTTAAAGAAGTATATAGGTCAACTTTTAGTTATAGAAATTAATAGGTCATAACTTGTCAAATTATGATTTATAACCAGATAAGTTATGGATAAACTTGTCAAGTTATGGTTCATCGCCAGACAAGTTATAGATAAAAATCGTGATTTATGGACAATAACTTGTCAACTTATGGTTCATAACCAGACAAGTTATGGACGAAAACAGTAATTTGGCCTATTTATTAACTTATGTAAACTATTGGCTTATTAATTTTAATTCATCTCCAATCTTGACCTATTTTCCTCTTTCTCCCTATAAACTAACAACACCAAAATATATTGATTATCAACCCCATTTAATGATCAAATAATAACAAAAATAAAAATCTTCCTTTTAAGGAACAAAGTTAAAACCGACAAATGGAGGTGCAATTTGAAACTTTAACTTTCTCTTCTAGTAGCTACTGATTTTTTGTATATGAAAAGTGAGGTATTTTAATTACTGAATGATTAAAGCACCACTAAATAACCTATGAATTGGTAAAAATTGAAATAGTATCAAAGAAAATTTTTGACAAATTTAGACAATTGATTAGAAAAGTACTTGGTGTCGCTCATTGTAAAACTTAAGAGGCATATTAATAGTAGTAGTTTTTCTAGATGAACGTAGATCATAATCTTGATGAAACTAAATGTGTGTTATCTCTCTCTCTCTCTCTCTCTCTCTCTCTCTCTTCAAGTTGTATTGTGCAGAACAAACAGGTGAAGTATAATACTATATATTGTGCAATGATTCTCAAAAAATTTTCTTATGCAGTGCAAGAATGTACCATGGCCTTTCAATCCACGAGAACTAGCCGGCTTCCCTCTCTAACGCTTTTACAACAATGTGCATTTTGGTACGCTTCCCTCTGTAACAAATAATAAAGTGTTCTCTACTATCCATTGTTTTCCCGAGTTTAGCTAAATGCTTTTCTACCCATTTATAGAGAAGCTTTTCTTGACTGATTGATACAGTATGGAAGCCCTTCCAACAGACACTATATTGATGAATTCTATAATTGTAATGACAACAGATTGTTGTGAAGCATCACCATTATCGACTTCTCTCGTGGTTCCCACCACCTCTTCCTCTCCTTCCCTGCGACTATTGCACGGCTGTTCCAGAGAAGATCGTGGCTTCAAATCACTTAATTTCTAGAACTATGGGGACTTCCTAGTTTAACATCACTACCGCAAGCAATACATAATCTCACCTCTTTATAAACGCCGATGATCAAGGCTTGTCCCATCTTATTGCAAAGATACTGACAAGAGAAAGAGGCGACCATCGGCATGGGATTCTCACATTCCTGCAAAAATTGGATTTCTATCTGGTGGAGCAAATGTGACCTTTCACAGTTCTTTCCTTTGTTTAAGGTTAATAATAAGTACATATTATCAATTACCGTTTGTCCTCTTCTGTTTATTATCACTATGAATTATCACAATTCTTTACTTGATAAGTGGATTAGGTTTGACTAACAAAAAAATTAGTTAGTGCAATAAGAATATAAGACTTGACTGTATGAGTGGTATTTTCTAGGTAGTAGGCACATGTTGTAAGTTTTAATTGAGGAACGTAGGTCATGAACTTGACAAAACTAAATGTATGAGTGTTATTTTTGTCACTCTTCGAAAAGCTTTTCTTTTCATACAAGTTTACAGCCATTCCAATAACGAATTCTGTTATTGTTGCAACACTGCAGATTGTTCTGTAGCCCCATCGTCAACTTCTTTCAAGCAGTTCCCTCATCCTTTTCCTCTCCTCTTGCTGCGACCATTTAGAAATGTTTCATATTACAGAGTGGAACGCGACCAAATCACTGTCTGAAGCAGTATGTAATCTCACCTCCTCGTCACAGACACAATTGATTATAGCTTTTCTCTTGTCTCATTGTTAAGGCAAACAATACCCTCTGCCCTTCCTTTGTTCTTACTTGTATGAATATGTGGATCCATAAGTTAGTACTGCAACAACTTCTAACGTCCAAACTTTTAATAAGTTTGACCACTACAATTTGTTATACATTTCTTACTTATAGGAACTTTTCAATATGCATGTGATCATCTAATTGCTTATTGAAAGCATGCATAAAAAATTGTCTTTTTCACTCTGATATAGTTAAATCTCACACCAAGGTTGGTAACAAGAAGTCATTTGTTCTCTAATCTCAGTGCATTTTGGCGAGAATGAAAAGGTGAAATTGTGCAGCAACTATGGGGATTAACCAAAAAAAAAAAAAAAAAACACTTCGGTAATGTGTTTCTATATTTGTCTTATTTTTTTTCCTTTCCTAAAGCCAATTTTCGTCCATAAATAGTGATTAACTAAAAAAAAAAACACTTCGGTATTGCAGATCACCACAGGACAAAGATGAGTGGATCAAAGAATTGGATACTCTAGGTTCATTGATGTTTGAGAAATCAAAGCGGCTAGAGGTGAATATAAAATTTTCTTCTTTTCTTGCAGCAAATCATCTTTTTCCATGCATGACTTATTTTTACAGTTTTTCAAAAGATTGTGCAAGAGTATCTCTACCATACTTTCATTTAACTAAATATAAAAATGGTACCAAAGAAGGACTATAATTTCGTTTACTTGTTTCTTTGTTGATTCTATGCTAACATAATCTAATAGGAATAGATGATAACTGGTCTAGGAGGTTCTTTAGCCATTGCAAGTTCGGATTGCTGCAGCTTTTCATTGTTGTTTTGCACAAAGGTGCTCATGGTTTTATTGTTCCGGCTTTGAAAGAAAATTTCCGGATCTCCTGCTGTTATTTCCTCTTTGGAAGGCAGGCATCATTTCATGTATTTGGGACATTTTCATGAATTCCGAGTTTTGTTTATTTTGGCATCTCTTCATGAAGCTAATCTCTTTGGCATCTGAGATAGGAAAGATTCTCGCTAGGAGCTTCTAATGTTGCTCAATCTGGAGTGCAATTTTCTTTAGCTGTCAAGGCTTTGTTATCACTATTGCAGCGAGAAAAGGTTGGACTTGGAACTTGTTGTATTGGAAATTTGGATTGAATAGTTTGTCCCTTCAATTTTTGATGCTAAACTGACGGGTATAATTTTGCTATCAATATTGCAGCTAATGGATGTTGGAGCTATATGGTTGAATGTGATTCGACAGATTTTGCTCATGTTTTCTCATGAGGTTCCATTCTTACCCATTACACCCCTCTACAACTGGACAGGATCAAACTATTCCATTAGATTAATAGTTGCGTTACGTATAACAGCCTTGTTCGTGGACAAAGTGGGCCTTATGGAGCAATGGGAAGTGTTTATGGTGTCACAATAGCTCCCTGCCTTCCAATTCCAGAGGTGCTTCAACGACGAGCCAGACGATAATTGTTGAGTTGCGCCCCATTTATTGGGCTGGAACAATAATTGGGCCAAAGTGTTTAAAACACACAAAAAAAAAAAAAAAAAAAAAAAAAAAAAGAAGAGAGGAAACAAGCTTGCTGGGCAAGCTTGTGTACGTGCAGCCAAAGAAAAGAAAACAAGGGACTGCCGTGAGTGGTAATCAGCGGACCAGAGAAAGAGAAGGGACAGAGAAGGAGGAGTAGGGTTTTGATGCTTGTGCAAGACGATCGGGTGGTAAAACGTTGTTGGTTTAGACTTAAATTTGACGTGGAGAATCTTGCAACGAGCTCTTTTCATCTACCAGACTTGATTTCTCATTTAGTCTCTCTTTGGTACTCTCTTAAGTACTCCTATTTTGATGAGACTTAAGTATTTCTTTGATGTTGTAATCCATCTTTGATGATGATGTATATGTTGTTGGTGGGTTAAGAATAGTGTTTCTTGATGATATTATTATTGTGAGCCTCTAGTTTGTATGTAGGGAGAAACTTTGATATAGTGGAAGTTTTAAGTGGCCTACAGGTCCCGTGGTTTTTATTCTCAATTTGAGGGGTTTTTCACGCTAAAAATTGGTCTCCTTTGGTGTTGATTATTTTTGAATAGTTGTTGCGTTGGTTGATTAGCTTTGTTGACCTTTTGTTTGAGATCTTATTTTAGCACACAAAGAGGGAAAAGTTTTTAGTAGTACTTTTTCTCAACACTACTGACGCTGGAGCAGTGGAGATGGGCATTCAGATTCTTTATCTAGTAATAGTAACGATGAGTTACTTCGTAGTCCTGCAGCGAGGAATTCTTTATTTCGAGCTAAATTGGATATGTTAGTTTGGTCTCAGCTTCCGATAAAAGGGCCTCGGCCAATTCAAATGGAGAAGGAAAGAGCAGCCCTTGGTTGCAAGGTTTTCCCTATAGTTGTACGGACATATTTGATTTTATGTTTCAATAAAGCTTGGGAGTGGCTGTTGGTAAGTGATGGTTGGCTGTTTTAGGTGCATTTACTAGAGCCATTGTGATCCTAGGCCACCTCCTTTCAGTAACTAAGACTATAAAATTGTAGGATAAATTGGTACGCCAATTCTCATTCTATAAATAGAATGAGCCAAGTGGCAGGAGGCAGCATAAAAATTCAACTGGTTGACAGAAGATGAGAAGAGAATTTCCTAAAGAAATGACAGTAAATTTCTGTAGAGTCATTCAAAGAGAGTTTAGCGCTTTATTATTGTAATGTATAAATATAATATCTTCTAATTGCGAAGATGTGAATACTTATTAAAAAGAAAAACTTTGAGTGGTTGAGCTTTCTAGATATGGCTTTGGAAGTGATATCTTTGAGAAGATTATTTGAATACTGGGAAATTTTGTGAGGGATGCTAGTTTGATGAAGACAGTGCAGAAGTCTTGTAATTGTCGTGGTGATTATTGAATAAAGTCTCTGGCAAAAGGTCGCGAAGTGAATGTAGAACAATTTGGTCCGAACCTTTATAAATCTCCGGTGTGAATGTGATTTTTTTTTCTTTTTGTGTTTTTGCAAATTAGCTCGTGGAATTTTTATTCAACATAGGAGTTTGAGCAAAGATTTCAGCTAGGTGAAGAATCCAATTACCTAATCAGTATTTTCATACATTCGAAAACACTAAACGTTGAAAACGAAGAAAATTGTCCCGTAAAAAAATGGATTGTTAAATTTCTGGTTAAAATGACTTGTGATTCCATCTACTAATAAGATTACATCTACTAATAAGATTACTTGGTTAGAATGATTTATGATTCCATCTAATATGATTACTTGTGAGACAACACCTTGCCAATTATTTGTCACCATCAAAGACGAAAATGTTGATGTCAACGGGATTGTCAAGATTTTGATTTACGAATAATGTCGATGTCGATGGATATTCAGAAAAAAAAAAAAAATAAAAAAATAAATAAATGCATCGAAAAAACCTTAAAGGTTTTTTGTTAAAATTGTACAAAATGCTAAAACAATCAATATTACTTAATTTGAACTAATTTAATAATAAAATTAATACGTTTTCTATTGGCATATGAGAGTTATGTCGAATAGTATCGCAAGAACTTATTATAATTATATTGGACTAGGATTTAAATATAAATTTTACATACTCATTATAAATAAGGAACAATAATTCAACCTACTACATAAAAATTAACTATCAAACATAATAAAATACACACGAAATTAAAGTGCTTTCAGTGCCAAAACGAGTTTCTAGTAGGTTAAAAAGCATTAGGTAGGTTTTGATCTTGATCTAATAAACAATACATTTGTCAAGATATTACCCTTGAATAATTCTCATTAGTAACCCATAAATTTGATACTATTGGTTTATCAAACTTGATGACTAGTATTTAGGGATGTATAATGACATTTCAATACTGACTTGTAGTTGAGGATATACTAATATATCATACAAGCCATCTTGGTTTTGTACTTCTGAAGTATATCTTATGTAAGAACTGTATGGATAGCCATATAAACTTTGCTCAGTTTCTAAGCTCATGTAATCAAAACTCAAGGCCACAGAATCCTCATCAATTTGACTCAATTGAGTCACACCACGTCTTTTTGATCTTATGTAAGAACTGTATGGATAGCCATATAAACTTTGCTCAGTTTCTAAGCTCATGTAATCAAAACTCAAGACCACAGAATCCTCATCAATTTGACTCAATTGAGTCACACCACGTCTTTTTATAAATGGTTTATTTAAAATGGATTGGATGAAATCTTGGTCACCATTGGGTTTTAAGATGGATTCGTCCAGATTGAATCAAATCTTGTGAAGGGTTATAAAAAGAGTTTTGTAAACAATGCAGCTTATTTCCTTGGTTGACTTTGTCACTGGTGGGCAACTGTTTGTACACTTCCCTTATCCTGAAAACAACCGTCTCTTTTCCTTACCATTTGAGTGTGTCGAGTCAATCTTCCTTTCAAGTCTTGATCTGGACACTACTTCAGACCATGTCGGGCCTCTGTGGCAGCAGAAGATTATAAAACTTATCATGCAAGAAGAAATTCCTGCCCTTGCTATCCACAGCTTTTTTCCACCCACACCATCCCCCATTTACAATTTTCTTGTGCTCATCGTTCCCTGTATAGTGAGGATCAAGTATGAGAAATGCACAATCTCCGCTTACTTCGTTGTAATCGACTCCCAGAAGGGTATATGCAAGAACTCCACCACCTGCACCCATTTAACGAGTAAGAGAACCCTTTTTTCTTCTTCTTTTCTTCACCTTTTCCAAAACTTTTATGTAATAAAGGTAGAAGACAAAAAACCAATATTGAAACTATATATCTCTAACACTCACCAATCATAATCGGGGTTCCTTGACTCTCAAAGTGCAAGGCTAGCTCACGACATTTTTCAGGAAGCTCAGCTCCAGATCTAACATTTATGACTTTGCAACTAACCTGTTCAAGACAGAATTGTTCCCGTAAAGGTCTGCATTATTAAAAGAGTTTAGCTAAACGTTATCCCCGGGATATGTATGAATGAAACATAATACTCTTGTTTGTCATCAAGGAAGTTACTTGTTTTTCTGTTTGTGAAATGAAATAGTATACTTACACCCAAAAGTTTGTCCAAAACAAAGCTCAACTCTATGGCACCTATCCATTCACGTGAGCCAACGAAAGAAGGATCTTTATCGCCAATCTCAACAAGTGCCTGCTGTATTTCCCTGGAAATCACAGGATTTCTTAGTTTAAAGGATAAAATAAATAACACACAAAACTAACAACGGAAACAAAAATAACGTACATGTTGTGTTTAGATCTATAGTTTTCAGAAGTGGTTAGACGTTTTCAGAAGACTTAAGAGATATGCATAGTAAGAGTCCAAGAAGGGATAGGGGAAAGTGGAAACCAAGGAAAAGTGAAATGAATCTTTCACTACATTCATGTACACTCCAGTTCACCTATGTGAAGGAACTTCTATAGACGTGTAGTGTTGGAATCGGAACCATGAAATGATGGTTTGTAAGGAACGATAAGCACAACCCCAGCCCTGGCAAGTAAAAGGCAAATGACTTAGCAGACAACAGTGCGTATAAATTAAATCACTACAGGATAGCATTTTCTTTGCAACAATTTGATTTGCAAGAGAAACAGTGACGATGCCTAATACTAGATAAATATCTACAGAAACAAGAGCCCTACAACTCATTCTGACCACCAAAGATTGATATGTCAATAAGTTACAGCAACCACTTAAAAGGGGGAAATTCTTCATTACCGAATCGTTAAAAGCATCTTGCATGTAATGGCAATATTCATAAGATCCCTGAACAAGAGATACAGTGCCTCCTGAAACTGCATAAAGACATCATTCAGTGAAAAGATCACTCATAATAACTGGGAGTCCAGGCCAAAAGAAAGCACAAAAAGCAACATTTGTCACCGACCACCACTACTTGGAATTCCAATATGTACGTCCTTCAGCAAACTAGAACCTGATATTACCACCAAAAACAAAATCTCATTAAAAAAAGGATTCTCAAAAATACCTCACAGAATGTTATGTATGTAAATGGATATTGATTACCCTTCTGCACACTCCTTGCACCATCAGTTGTAAACAAATTGAGGGCATTTGCAATTCTTAGGAGGGGACGATCAAAAGGTAATCCCAGCCTCAAGTGCAGAGATTTCCTAAATTCAACTGCATGGAAAAAAATAGTGTGTTAAATAGAAAACTCTGTCTTGATTGATCTTAATTGTCAATCAAACTAGAGAAGAAAAACAAAGATGTTCTTTTTCCACAATTAGCATCACTCGTGGGGTTTGTTTCTAAGAAGGAAAATAGCAAGCAACATGGACAAAGGCCTTGAGGCTAGCACATTTGGTGTTTAGTGGGTGTGTGATTTGTTTTCGATATATTGAGTCCTGGGTTCAAGTCCCAAGGATAGTAAAATCTAAAAAAAAAAAGTGTTGAACTTCACCAGCCTCAAACAGCTACTTTTTTGTTTCCTTCTTTTTTCCTTTTGGGGTTGAGACAGAGTATTCTAACATATCTGGAGGAGAAAATAATAGCAGGAATACTTTTGGAATGCAAGCTCAAAGTTCGAATATGCTACTTCTTACCTTGCTTCAATTCCGTCTCCCCATAATTAAGTTCATAGATAATGGTTACTGGATGAAGAACCCCCGGAGGAGTAAAGTGATATGGACGAAGCTGCAGATCATGTGACAAAGCTTAGCAGTTAGCAGATGAAGATGCCCTACACACTTTAAGAACTCGTTTGGAAGGTAGATTCAAACCATATCAGAATTCAAATTTTGTTAGAAAAAACACTGTAGCGGCGGAACTGATTAAATTCAAATTTTTTGTGAGAGAAAACATTATTTGAACCCATCCTCCAAACACACCCTAAATGTAGATTTCCATGTCTCCTTGGCCACATAATATAAAATAATATCAGGCGAAGAATGAACGATGGATAAGAGGGTAAGTGAATTTCTAGTTTCAGTAATATATGTGTGTTTCTCAGTGTTAGATGGAGTAGATAATAGCTATCACGTACTTGATGAATTTGACGTGTGAACAATTTGCCTACCTGAGGATGTTGTGCTAAGAGACTGGGTGAGATACTATTCTTCATTACGTTAAGCTGATCAACTAATCCTGGGACAATTAATTTTGAAACTGCAAACATGAGCGGTAGATCCTTGGTTGCATAACTGAGCATTTCCAACTTAAACTCTACAGTTAGAAATCTGGTTTCCTCAAGAGCTGAAACACATGATTCAACGTCCATTAAACAGTCTTAACAGCATCAAATCTGCAGCAAACCCACGATTAAAATCCTAAACCAAAGAAATATGACGGAAATACCTGGAAAATAGTCTGCAGCAGGCGCAGCTGATTTCGGAGATTTTTCTGAATTATTAACTAACACACTTACTTGGATTTTATCTGAATCCTAAGCAGAAAAAGTTTTAGTGAAAGTTGTAACTGAATTAACTTGGATCATAACATCAGAAACAGAATAAAAACAGAATAATGTTCAGATGAGGATACAACATTCTTACCTCTGCGGCATAAACAGGAGAGCCAGGTTTATCATTCATACAAAAGTGTCCACATAATACTAACTTTGCATCAGATTCTTGACCACCTTCTTTGGAAAGCATGATATGTGAGAAACCTATACTAAAGTCCATTTCTGCACCACGAATAATGACGGGTTGACGTACTTCAGCAGAAGTTTTCCCTACACTTTCTACCACGTATACAACCTTTGGGTCCTTTAATTTGGCAATAACAGCTTCAGTTGCACGTTGGAATATATTCTCAACATCTGCAAGGTGTGAGCGTACTTGGGGAATTAAACATGTATCACATTGGCCCTATATTTCTAAAGAAGCGACTCTTCAGAAGATATGCCTCAAATACATACAATGATGAATCCAAAATTTAATAAGAATGTATAGAACAGAATAAACCAAAATTCATCACAATACATTCAGCACATACTTAAAAAGCAACATTCTATGGTAGCACTAAATCCTGCCGAGAAGAGGCCACCTACACAATTCCATTTCCCATCATTAATCTATCCAAGGTCAATACCTTATCCGAAAGCACAAAACTTTAGGAATCTCTGTTGACCCCATAATCAAGTTTTGAAAATTCTTTCCTCGACCATTCTAAGCCAAAAACTCTCAGCTACATTAAGCAAAGAGGATGATACCAGTCCAAAGGATGATATTTGTCTGTTTTACAATCCTTATTTTACATAAAACTAAATCATGATGAAAAGAGGTCAGCTACACATACCCATTTATGTTCATTTTAATTTAGTCTATCCAGATTTCACAGTTAAACCCTTATCTCAATAAAGAATTTTCCAGAATTCTTCTTTTGTTCCTAGGTGGTGATAAAATATTTATTAAAAAAAAAAAAGACAACTACTTTCATAGTAGTAAAGCAAATCATACATGCAAACACAGCAGATGATATGGACTACGAAGAACTAACGAACGCTAAGCTCAATCGAATTCGTAAAATGCGATTAGCATATTCCAAAAGAATGAAAGGAAATTCAAAGAAATTTACCAGTTGAATTATCTACATGATAATAGATTGGCAACTTGATCGGAAGTTCACATCTTAGCAAACAACCTCTCTCCCAAAGATACTTCTCAGGATGATCCTCGTAAACAACAGAATCAACGCGTTCAAAACCCGTCGAGTTCACGGATTTCGAAGCGAAGAAGTGAACTTCACCAGTCTCTGAATCCGCCACCGCTCCGAGAGCTTCTTGATCGTCCGATTCTCCGCCACCGCAGAGAAGCTTTCTCAACCGACAAGCAAAATCGATTGCCTTGGCGGCGTTCTTTTCAATGTCGGATTTCGCGACTATCAACGCTCCGGCGACGTCGAATCCTTTCGGAAGCAGCGTCCGAAGATCTTCTGCTCAGATTGCGAAGTTAAAAGTCGAATTCGAACGATGAAATCGCGGAAAAGAGATTGCATTTTGTCGTTTGAATGAAATTTTCTCACCTGATTCTTTGTAGTAGTCTGGCGAGAGGGAATCGGCGTGGATGCATTTAACGGTGGAGACGACTGTGAGTGGCGGGAGGAATGGGGATCCGATCAGCCATTGGAGGCCAGGATCGTTCTTGTGCAGTACGAGGCTAGGGCATAAAACTCGAACGCTTCTGTGTTCGTTCTCGTTCGCCATTGATGGACTGGGAGCGAGCTCTGCCGATTGACAGAGAAACAGGCAGCACGTTCTCTGAATTGTAAGGTGGTTTCGGCCGATAAATGGGTCAAATTCTAGAGAAAAAAATGGAAAATTTACACAGTACTGAGTCTGAATCTTTTTGTTAGTGTATAAATTATAATTTGTAATTTATTATAATATTTTTTTAATAAAAAATATACATAAATTAAAAATAATTTTAAATTTATAAATTAAATGTGCACTTTTAAATTTTTATAATTAAAAAACTTATAAATTATAAATAAAAAATAAAAATATTAATTTTTAGAATATTTATTAAGATTACTCAATTTTAGAGGGTCTGGACCGAGCTCACGGTCTATTATGATTGGGCTTTTGTCTAAGTGGTTTTGAGGGAAAAGCCCAACCTTTTATTTTACTGTTAGAAAATTAGATTTGTTTTTACGCCTTTACCTTTTAAATTTTATTAGAATGTTCATTAGTCCAGTGCTGAACTTTCAGGCGGCGGGCATGCCCGAAAATTTTTAGGCACGGCGGGCAGGCCCCTCTCGCCGCTCAAAAATGCTTTTCTTCGAGCACGGACTCGGATAGCCCGAAAATAGTAAACCCCCCGACAGGCCGCCGCCGTGGAGAAGCCATCCCCCGCCGTTCGCCGAATTTTTTTTTGAATTTTCCAGCAATACCCGAAGCGGCCCGAATCTGCCCAAATTGCCCGAATTTTTTGTGACCGTTGCCCGAATTTTGGTGACCGTTGCCCGAATTTTGCCCCGTGCCCGAAAAATGCCCGATTTTTTTTTTACCGTTAGCCCGAAAAATGCCTAAATTTTAAAACAAAATGGTCTTTTGCCCGAACCCGAACCTGAATTTTGCCCGAATTTTTTAACCCAACGGTCGGATTTTGTGCCATTGCCCGACCTACCCGATTTTTGCCCGAACTACCCGAAAATTTTGTAGCCGTTGGACCCGAATTTTTGGGGGAAAAAAAATTTTTTCAACCCAAAAATTTTCCTATAAATACCCCCCCTCCCCCCAACCATTTTCCTCACCCCAAAACTCTCATTCTCTCTCAATTTCTCTTAATCTCTCTCAATTTCTCTTAATCTCTCTCAAATCTCTCTTAATCTTGCTTAAATCTCTCTCGAATCTCGATCTCTCTTAAGCTCTCTCAAAGCGCTCTCAATCTCTCTTATTTTTCATAATGGCTTCTTCT